CACTTGTATCATTAGAAGAGAATATTTTGCCATCTGCACGCAAAGTGAAAATGATATAACAGAACAGCTGCTGTACGCAAACATCCATTAAACCTGATACTCCGAGTCTGCGTGTGTGTGTTCGTCTGTGTTCACATAACTATACTTTGTCCCCAGAAGAGAGTTAAATTTAACAAAACCAGACAGTTGGTAAAAGTCAAACAATGGGAAAAAGAAAAAACAGTTTTAAGAGATAAAGAGATTTTTATTTCAAACATGAAATAAAATGAACATAAATGAATAGGACACACTGTAACAGACTGTAACACTGTAACAGAATGCGCATTTAGCTGTTTATCACACTAATGAGCGCTGCTGTCAAGAGCATTAATGACAATGGATGAGTTTATCAAATCACCAGTGACCCGTGAGCAGGATATTCCACTATAAGTATCTTATATTAAACCTCGGCCTGTGACATCATCAGCCCTGCAGCCAATCAGAACAGCAGGTGTGTGTGTGTGTGTGTGTGTGATTGACACGCCCACTTCTCCAATAAACTTCCTCCAAAAGAGACTTCAAATCCAAAACTGGGCTGTGAATTCAGACACAAACAGCCTGACTGAATAACAGAATGATGAAGGACAAATACTGACTCTTATTATTAAAGGATATAGTGCAGTATAATGTGTGTGTGACGTGTGTGCCGGACAGACGGATTCACACACTTCATGTACGGCATTAAAGGGTTAGTTTACCCAAAAATGAAAATTAGGCTGTGTTTTACTCACTCTCAAGTCATCCTAGGTGTATATGACTTTCTTCTTTCAGACGAATCCAGTCGGAGTTATATTAAAAATTGTCTTTGATCTTTCAAGCTGTTTAATGGCACTCAGCGGGTGTTGCATGCATCAGTCCAAAAGAAGTTAAATAAAAAGCGCCCATCCACTCATACGTCATCCGCCCGGAGCTGCTTCCGTGTACAACAGTGAGCGCAAGCTACATTAAAGTGATTATTAAGTTTTGAATATTCTTACAAAAAAGCATCGATTCGCTACAGAAGGCCTTTGTTCACCCCCCGGAGCCGTGTGAGACACTTTATTTAATGGATGGGCGCTTTTTATTTCACTTCTTTTGGACTGAAGCACTGCAACACACAGTCTGCAACATTGCAGTCTCATGATAGAGCTTGGAAGAGCCAGGACAATTTTTAATCTAACTCCGACTGGACTCGTCTGAAAGAAGAAAGTCATATACACCTAGGATGGCTCTGGGGTGAGTAAAGCACAGTCTAATTTTCATTTTTGGGTGAACTAACCCTTTAACAGTCTCAGCAGATCCTGTGACGTCACAACAAGCAGCCAATCACAGCGCAGCACTGAGGGTCTGTTTACAGCACTTCAGACGATCTTCCTCAAACGTGGCCTGAGGCTTTAGGATCGCTGCCAAACAGCAGAGTCACGCAACACAGCGCTGAAACACTGCATTCATTAGCTGCTACACATACATACACACACCTCGCTCTTCCTGCTGTTTGGAAATCTGTCTTTCCACTGGTTTCACACACATTCCTTCAGAGAGAACTAAACTCTGGATTGAAAAATTCATTTTTGTTTATTAGACTCTCTAAAAAAGAAAATCCTCCTGATCGTTAGCAGGTGATTTTATCCAGAGCAATGTTGAAATGAATGTGATGGTGTTGACTGTCAGATGATCATCACATCACAGATCTCCAAACTCACCACAGCTTTTCTAGAGTCGCTGCTGAAGCGCCTGATGCTTCTAATAATCTCCTCCGTGTCTGTCATCAACGCTTCATTAACTCATTAACACATCTCATTAACGCTCACAGGGAGTCAGTGACGTGTCTGTGATTGAGCTTGTAGCATGATTTTCAGAAAGATGAAATAATCAAAGTTCAGCTGTAATTTCCGACAGTGAAGCTCAGACTCTGAACAAATAAATACAACCAGAAGTGACGATTACTGGCATATTAAAACAATAAAAGACGCACATGCTAATAACAAGATCAGTCCTGTAAATGACCAACTAACCAGTCAGCAGGTTTAGAGCAGGTTGATGTTGTTTGTGGTCAAATATCAGTTGATTCTGTGTGATTCAGATGATCTGTATGTGATTTCTCTGCTTCAGTGCTTTGAACGGCTGACGATAATCTCATCTGACAGACTCTAACCATGATGTTGTGCCAACAAAGACTTCCACTCCATTACCTTCATGAGCAAACACTCGCTTGAACTTTCCTGCAGCCGATCCGTCCGTATTATTCCCCCTTGAGGATCACTTCATTGCTCTTGCACTGAGAACTATTAATATTCATACAGTACTATTCATAATTAAGTTCTGTAGTTGATGAGTCTGAATGATGATTTCATCCCCTTACAATTTAATACTGTAATAAAAACGTGTAATTTTAACATCTAATTCAATAATTAACTCAACATTAAATCATGGACTCAAAAAATCGTCAACATGTTAATAAATTAAAAAGCATACTATTATTAAATTTCTAGAATGACAATTATTTTTAACCTAAAAACTATTTAGCCTATCGCATACTTATATAAATAACATTCAACACTTTCTTTCTCTTAGTTTAATAATAATAAATGCTGTATGCCATATTATGATTGTTGGTTATTTTGAGTTGCCATGGTAATTTGACGTGTTTTGTTTGTTGTGGAATCGCGTGGACACGGGCGCACCGCGGTTTCTCTCCACAGATTTGACATCCTGAACACTCTTCTTGTTCTTCAAACACACAGAGGCCTGCGCTGACGTGCGAGTGACGTCTCCGGTTCCTGTGGCTGATCTGATCTCCTTCCTTCTTCAAGCTCCTGGTTCGTGCAGGGTCAGCGTTTAGACGCGTCTTGCTCAAGCCGTTTCCTCTCAGGACTGCAGACAGAGTTCATCCTGAAAAACTCTCCCCATTCAGGCCAAAGAGCGTCCGCCATGAAACACAGGCGACTGACAAACGCAGTTAGAGTAAACGAAATATATGTGACCCTGGAGCACAAAACCAGTCATAAGCGTCAATTTTCTGAAATTGAGGTTTATGTGGCTATTGCTACAAATATACCCCAGCGACTTAACACTGCTTTTGTGCTGCAGGGTCACAAATATGCTGCAGTAGGTCTGTGGGTGAGATGATGGACAGAGAGACACTGAGATCCGTCAAAGACTGGATAACGCTGTCTCAGGAAGACTAAGAGTGTCTGTGGTTTGAGTCACGCGAGAAGAACGACGAGAATGATTTGGGTTCATGCCAGTTTCAATTTCCACACATTAAAAGTGAATGCATTAAAGATTAGATAGAATAGAATTTTTGAAGCCTTAAACATGATATAAAATCTGTCTGAGTTTCCTGAGGCATTATAAGTTCAGTTAAAGTTAAATGTTTTCCAGAAGCATCGTTATCTAAGTGTTTGCAGTGACAGAACTCACATGATCTGCCATGACTGAGTTTTTCTGCAATTCTCTCATTGATCTGTATATACTGATCATTTAATTAAAAAAAAAAAAATTAATTTGAAAAAATGAATCATTGAAGATACAAGATGTTTTTCAGCTGATATAAAGATTTTTGTGGCCCTGCAAGTGTTTTTACACTTCAGTCAATAAATTCATCAATCAATAAGTAAGTAAATAAACAAATCATTTTAATATATGCTTTTTGATAAAACTCATATCTTAAAACTGTCTATGTTTTCAGTAACTGTTAGCATGCAGCTCAAACAGTAGACCATGGGTTCAGTTTCCAGCGAATAAATGAACTGTTAAAATGTGTTTCTGAAAAGCATCTGCTAAATGCATAAATGTAAAAGTTTTCCACAAATAACTCATTGAGCGAGCGTTAAATGAGCTTCTAATGAAAGTCACAGGTTCACGGCGCTCAGATCTCAAACCGATGATGAATCAGTGATGTCTGATGTGTTTCTATGATCTCTCTGCAGCACAGCTCTAATAATCACTGCTTATAATAATGCATGGCACATGTAATCACTTCCATTTCTTTCATTTCTATTTGAGCATCAATATTTCTGATTTAGGATTCAGGTTTTTCCAAAGCCGTCATTATTTCTTAAGCTAAATTCTACATCAGTTATTAATGTCACACAGACACTTCAGAAGCGGCTCCTGACAGAAGTTTCCCAGCATTCCCTGCGTGTCTCACCTCTCACACCCTCTAGTGGTGATGGGAAAAACACTTCAACATCAGATGTGTGCATATAATCAGCTTGCTGCAAAAGAAAATAAAGCTCCATTTTTTTTTTAGTTAGGCGAGCTAATTTTTTTTAACTGATGTATTTAATGATTTCATGTGTAATTGAAGTAATTCTTTAATTAAAAAGAATGTCTATAAACATGTTTTGACAGCTATGTAAGTCACCGTACAAACTACAGCATCAGTCCTTGAGTTTCATTCACACGGAACAAACAGAAACAACCAGCAGCTGAACATCACAGACTCAAACCCACAAACCCAGACGGCAGCAGCACGCGTGTGTGTGTGTGCGTGCATGTGTTGCGTGTGTGTGTGTGTGTGTGAGTGTG